TATAATTTTGGGACATTATAAAGATTTACTTATAATATAATATAACTTACCAAAAAGTTTGCTTGATGTCGAGTTTCAAATTTTCTTCGAACAACGACTTTATGAATTCAGTTTACCGCTTCTAAGCTTGCTTGATGTCGAATTTCAAATTTTCTTCGAACAACGACCTTCTTTATGAATTCAGTTTACCGCTTCTAAGCTTGCTTGATGTCGAATTTCAAATTTTCTTCGAACAACGACCTTCTTTATGAATTCAGTTTACCGCTTCTAAGCTTGCTTGATGTCGAATTTCAAATTTTCTTCGAACAACGACCTTCTTTATGAATTCAGTTTACCGCTGCCACCATGTGTTGTTATCCAAGACGAGGCAAGATTAACTAAGAGCATTAGTTTATTTCCTATTATAATAATATTCCTTATTATATACAAGTCAAAAGAGATCACTAGCAGAGTATTATTCCTTTTGGTTTCCAGAGCTCAACAATCTATGAGCCTAATACTCTGCACAGGGAAAGGTGTCCTCTTACCGGAGAGTTGCTACAGTAAAACCTCCCTGTAAAGGACACCTAATTGCAGAGCCAAAGTGTCCTTTAGGGAGAAGTGTCCTCTTACCGGAGAGTTGCTACAGTAGAACCTCCCTGTAAAGGACACCTAATTGTAGAGTCAAAGTGTCCTTTAGGGAGAGGTGTCCTCTTACCGGAGAGTTGCTACAGTAGAACCTCCCTGTAAAGGACAACTAATTGCAAAGCCGAAGTGCCCTTTAGGGAGATGTTTCCTCTTACCGGAGAGTTGCTACAGTAGAACCTCCCTGTAAAGGACAACTAATTGCAGAGCCAAAGTGTCTTTTAGGGAGAGGAATCCTCTTACCGGAGAGTTGCTACACTGAAACAACCTCCCTGTAAAGGACACCTAATTGCAGAGTCAAAGTGTCCTTTGGGAGAGGTGTCCTCTTACCGGAGAGTTGCTACAGTAGAACAACCTCCCTGTAAAGGACACCTAATTGCAGAGTCAAAGTGTCCTTTAGGGAGAGGTGTCCTCTTACCGGAGAGTTGCTACAGTAGAACCTCCCTGTAAAGGACACCTATTTGCAGAGCCAAAGTGTCTTTTAGGTAGAGGTGTCCTCTTACCGGAGAGTTGCTACAGTAGAACCTCCCTGTAAAGGACACCTAATTGCAGAGACAAAGTGTCCTTTAGGGAGAGGTGTCCTCTTACCGGAGTGTTGCTACAGTAGAACCTCCCTGTAAAGGACATCTAATTGCAGAGCCAAAGTGTCCTTTAGGGAGAGGTGTCCTCTTACCGGAGAGTTGCTAGAGTAGAACCTCCCTGTAAAGGACACCTAATTGCAGAGCCAAAGTGTCCTTTAGGGAGAGGTGTCCTCTTACCGGAGATTTGCTACAGTAGAACCTCCCTGTAAAGGACACCTAAGTGTCCTTTAGGGAGAGGTGTCCTCTTACCGGAGAGTTGCTACAGTAGAACCTCCCTGTAAAGGACAACTAATTGCAAAGCCGAAGTGCCCTTTAGGGAGATGTTTCCTCTTACCGGAGAAGTGCTACAGTAGAACAACCTCTCTGTAAAGGACACCTAATTGCAGAGCCAAAGTGTCTTTTAGGGAGAGGTATCCTCTTACAGGAGAGTTGCTACAGTAGAACAACCTCCCTGTAAAGGTCACCTAATTGCAGAGTCAAAGTGTCCTTTAAGGAGAGGTGTCCTCTTACCGGAGAGTTGCTACAGTAGAACCTCCCTGTAAAGGACACCTAATTGCAGAGCCAAAGTGTCCTTTAGGTAGAGATGTCCTCTTACCGGAGAGTTGCTACAGTAGAACCTCCCTGTAAAGGACAACTAGTTGCAAAGCCGAAGTGCCCTTTAGGGAGATTTTTCCTCTTACCGGAGAGTTGCTACAGTAGAACAACCTCCCTGTAAAGGACACCTAATTGCAGAGTCAAAGTGTCCTTTAGGGAGAGGTGTCCTCTTACCGGAGAGTTGCTACAGTAGAACCTCCCTGTAAAGGACACCTAATTGCAGAGCCAAAGTGTCCTTTAGGGAGAGGTGTCCTCTTACCGGAGAGTTGCTACAGTAGAACCTCCCTGTAAAGGACAACTAATTGCAAAGCCGAAGTGCCCTTTAGGGAGATGTTTCCTCTTACCGGAGAGTTGCTACAGTAGAACAACCTCTCTGTAAAGGACACCTAATTGCAGAGCCAAAGTGTCTTTTAGGGAGAGGTATCCTCTTACCGGAGAGTTGCTACAGTAGAACAACCTCCCTGTAAAGGACACCTAATTGCAGAGTCAAAGTGTCCTTTAGAGAGAGGTGTCCTCTTACCGGAGAGTTGCTAAATACAGTAGAACCTCCCTGTAAAGGACACCTAATTGCAGAGCCAAAGTGTCCTTTAGAGAGAGGTGTCCTCTTACCGGAGAGTTGCTAAATACAGTAAAACCTCCCTGTAAAGGACACCTAATTGCAGAGCCAAAGTGTCCTTTAGGGAGAGATTACCTCTTACCAGAGAGTTGCTACAGTAGAACCTCTCTGTAAAGGATACCTAATTGCAGAGCCAAAGTGTCCTTTAGGGTGAGATGTCGCCGAGTAGAGTACATTGAAGTTTGTTGTAATTGGTGACGGATAGGTATGACATGTGTCCGGTTATTCAATAGCCATTTAATTGCTAAACTAAAAAGTTGCCTCATGTAAGACTGACTTTACTATGTGTATATAACTATGGATACCTTCCTAACAATGGCTATAGATCGTGTTTGAACTTGACAATTGAAACAAATTTTATGAAAATGGAAATAAAACAAAAATATAGATGATCATGCGGGGGATGTGCCCGGCGAATGAGCCTTCTTTCCCAGGCGATGAGCGGGTGGTCAGCCCAACCTGTACCAAGTACCGGTAGATGATGGATTTGGCCGACGCCAGGATGGCCAGGTCGTCATCTTCGAGGCCAGACCCGAAATTCCAGGCCCGCAAGTCAGGGGTCGCCCAAGGACACTGAAGGCTTCGATGATGAGGGGCCTGATACGAATGCAGCTCCAGTAGCGATGGTCAAGGGAGCGATCTACGGAACCGCAGGCCTGGCATGATGAACTAGTCGAGGCCGGATGGTTCGGGTAGGGAAGGGCATGGTGTTTGAACTTGTATGTATGTAATATTGCTTTTGTTGTTTTCATGTAGACATATATACCAAGATTTGTTTTGTATAATTACTATTTATAAATAATATGTAAAGCTATATTGGTTACGGATTCATCCTTCTTACTTACTTTAATAACTTAACAAATACTATATAAAGTAATTTATATTACAATATAATGCGGCTTATAATTGTAGAACGACATTTGAAAATTATCTCGCATGTGTTTCTTTTGAACGAAAAATGAAAATTTATTTTAAGAAGAAATAACGACTATTTCTAACCTTTCGGATGAAGTATGAAAGGATGAATTGTGAAGAGTAATGATAAATGGAAAAATAAAAGTGTCCAGGGATGGGAATCGAACCAACAGTGTTCCGCTTACCTGGCAGTTGCCATGTCCACTAGGCTACCTTGGACATATCTTTCCGTTCGTAAATATTATATGAAGTAATTTATAATACCATATAATGCGGCTTATAACAAATACTACTGTGTAAAGAATGCTATGTAGTTTTTTTTTTGTTTATCCCTATTACACGTGGTACAGGCCATGATAATCATGGTGGGTAGAAGTAGGCGATTGCCTTTTACTGTAAGTGCGCCACATGTCTACACATGTGAAAAACAGTTCGACTTTGCACTTACAAATATGCCAGAGCCTAGTTTGGTTACTTGCACTCGCTGGTAGGGTTGGACTTTTGCACGAATCGGGGGCCATTAGAGCATTTTTTTTAATCAGAAAAAAAGTGCCCAATGCGGGAATCGAACCCGGGTCGTAGCGGTCGAAAACCAACAGTTTAGACCATCCTTCCACCGATCCCTGCATGCTATGTAGTTAATAATATTGTCTGAATGAAGAGTTAATAGTCATACAGTATGGTACTACAGTGCCAGTGATTTGAGGCAAGGATCTCAGATGAGAACAATTCTGTCATCCCAATCCATAATAGCGAATAGAGTCACAAAGAGCTAAAGCCGTCATTTCCCCACAGACAGTAGCGCCTTTCATTCGCACCAACACCGCGACCATTCATTGACTGATTCAGCTATAATGATTACGACACAGTTCGGTAGATTTATGTATTTTTTTTTTTTTTGAACAAATCATCCAGCGTGAGTTGTAATACAGGATTACTGTTCCTGCATTTCCCTCAGCCTCCCTAAGCCTCTTTACGGAGTGCGTTGGTGATTGGGACATCACCAGAGACAGTCTTGGTGCAGACACGACAATGCAGATTCCAACACACTTCCTCTTCAGGGCATTCTTGCCGCAAAAGCTGCAGGTGTATTTTTTTGTGCTGGGAAATTTCGATCTTCTTGATCATTTTTCTCAGAGAAGCACCATACCTAGTGCCGTACTTTCCGACGACTCCAACATTCTTGGTGCGCTTGGCCATTTTATTTATGAAAAATGAAGTACAGGAGTTTTAACTGTGTTTACGAGCCTTTTTACGATTTATGTAGAGCGGTAGATTCCTAAACGATTATTGGTTGCTGGCTTGATACCAACTGGCGTATAAAGAATGGATGAACACTCTTTTGCAGGTAGCTTCAAATTCTATTTGCTATGCTGAACGCATATGTAGATTAATTTGCTAATCAGTCCTATTTATCTGAAAGGTCTGTGCAATCCTGACGTCTACCAAGACACACATATTATCATTGGATGAATTAAAGAGGTATTTATATTCACCTTAAATTTTTGCTTTTGTTGACTTTTCATCTGATATACATACACTTTTAACCCTTTCTGGTCTGCGCGCACCTTGGTTTACGTGAGTAAAGAGGCTGCCCTCTACTGCGCATGTAATACGATCTGCTCATACATATTCCTTTAAATCCCCATATTATATAATGGAAAACAATGTTTCACATGTGGAAATATATGGGAATCGAACCCACAGTGTTCCGCTTACTGGGCAGATACCATGTACACTAGGCTACCCTGGACATATTTTTCCGTTCGTAAATAATACATAAGGTTACAATATTATGGACAGAATAAATTTTGTAAAATAAGGGGTGAACTAAACATTTTTTTATCGAAAACACAAAGCGCATAAAATATTTATGTTTTATCTTAATATCTTACTGTAGCAATTGATTGGAAGAATGAATAAATTTTGTTTAAATTGTCATTCTTCAAAACCTTTTTAACGTATAAAATGAGAGGATTTAAAAGCACGAATGTTTCTTTCATACATAATACAAACTTCTACTGTCCTTACTGCGATGAAAAAATATATTGGGAGGGCTTGGCTCATCAGTGGTGAACCCTCCCAGAGGTTTCACCAATTTAATCCACCAGACCGCTGGGAGGGTTCACCACTGATGAGCCAAGCCCTCCCAATATATTTTTTCATCGCAGTAAGGACAGTAGAAGTTTGTATTATATATAAAAGAAACATTCGTGCTTTTAAATCCTTTCATTTTATATGTATAGATGGCGCGTTATTGCTTTGTGTTAACCTTTTAACGTATTAAGTTTCTTCATGTTGTACACTCGGCAACTGTTACTACGTGAAAGTGTCGTAGTTCCACGATACGCTCTAGTTCCCTAGCCACTAATAGGTTCTATTCCACTCGCTGCACCTTCCTTGACATTGTCTAATGGTTTAAAATTAGGTTGCCAACTACTGGCCGTATTTACAAACCTAACGGGCTGTGAACAGATATCTTGAGGTTTAAAAAATGTTCTTGTAGTTAAATATATAATTGTTGTATAGTTGAAGGTGTTTATATATATATGTGACAATATAATGTAATAATAATGTGGGGAAAGAGAAATAAGGACACCACAAGTTGGTAGAGGAATCCTAGACAACCAGAGAGAGATAGACGGGCCAGCCACCGCTGAGCGGCCGGCCGTTCCGTGTCGAACACAATTACCCACTGTCTAATAGTCCTGAGGTTCCAAGTAACGAGCCCCTTGGAATGTCGCTGATATCTCAAGTGACCGGACTTTACATCCTCTCTTAACAGTCCCGAGAACTCACGGGCCTCTGGTCGCCCCTTGGAATGTCGCTAGTGTCTTAAATGACCGGACTTTAGCTCCCGTCTCTCTCTGGGTTGACTGTAGGTTTGCTTTATTATTCCTGGAAGAGTATATATTATGACATATTGTCACGGTAGAGATAACGAGTATTACAAAAGTTTAAGTAAAAATAGTTTATTTAGAAAATGCAAAACTATATCTAAAAATTTATTTACAAGTAAAATATATAAGAATCGTAAGGAGTGATGACTATGCAAATATTAATGATGATATACCACAGAATATTTAAAATAATTATTCAGTGACATTGCCCCCTTCCTAGATGAACAGCGTCCCGCTGTAATTATCACTTGAACAGATCAGCTTGGTCCTCAGGATCATGGTAGGGTTTCATTCTCAGTACATGGACAAGGTCTCTTGTTTGGCGTCTCCTGGTTGGTTGGTCCACAGGTTCAGCTTCGAAGGTCACGTCAGAGAGTTTCCGAGTAACCCTGTATGGCCCGAAGTACCTTTTCATCAGTTTTTCTGAGAGTCCCACCTTTCTTATCGGGATGAAAATCCATACCAGGTCACCAACGTTGTAATCCATTGCCTCGTGCTTTGAGTCATATCTGGCCTTGTCCTTTTCTTGGGATTTCAAGGTTTCTAATCTTGCTAGCTGCCTAGTCTCTTCGACTCGCGAGGCAATCTTCTGACTGTAATCCTCTTGGAGATCTTCATGCGGATTTGGGAAAAGAGTGTCTACAGTTGTTTCGGCTTCGCGTCCATGAATCAGTTTAAAAGGGGTAAAACCTGTCGTATCTTGTTTTGCCGTGTTGTAGGCGAACGTAACGTAGGGCAGGATTACGTTCCAGTCCTTCTGTTCAACACTTACATACATAGCGATCATGTTGGCTAAGGTTTTGTTTAACCTCTCCGTAAGTCCATTCGTCTGGGGATGATACGCTGTCGTGAACCGATGTATCGACGAGCATTGATTGGTGAGTTCCGCAATCAACTTAGATTGGAATACTCGTCCTCGGTCCGTGATGATTTCTCTGGGGGCTCCGTGCTTGAGAACAACATCTTCCATTAAGAACTTGGCTGCTTCTTTTGCTTCCCCTGTGGGTAAGGCTTTAGTAACGGCAAATCGAGTAAGATAGTCAGTACAGACTATGATCCATTTATTACCAGTATCAGACTTGGGAAATCTTCCAAGGAGGTCCATTCCAACTCTCTGAAAAGGGGAGGTTGCAGGAGGTATTGCCTTAAGTAGTCCGGGTGGCTTTTGAGTTGATTGTTTCTTTCTTTGGCACTCTTTACAATGAGCGACATACTTCCGTATGTCCCGGAGAACTCCTGGCCAGAAATATTTGTTTTTAACTCTCTCATATGTCTTCGAAAATCCAAGATGACCTGCTGTGGGAGCGTCGTGTAAACTTTTCAGTAGTTCTAAGCGTAAGTGCCTGGGAACAACTAAAAGGTGTTGGTTTCCCAGGGGGTCGAAATTCTTTTTGTATAAGGTTCCTTTTAACATTTCATATCCTTTCGATTCTGCGCCAAATCTTTCTGTTTCTTCTATCAATTTACTAATTTTAGGGTCTTTTCTTTGTTCAGCATCGAAGCACGTCAGAGCAGTTATTGAGGGTATATCATCATCCTCATCATTGTATGCTTCTTCCGATTCAAGTTGGAGAGGATTTCGAGAAAGACAGTCGGCATCTTGGTGTTTGCGTCCACTTTTATAAACAACTGTTACATTGTATTCTTGGAGTTTTAAAGCCCATCTTGCTAGTCTTCCTGTCGGGTCCTTCAGGTTAGATAACCAGCAAAGAGCGTGGTGGTCAGTGACGATGACAAACTCACGACCAAAAAGGTACGGTCGAAATTTGTTGATGGCCCATATTGCGGCCAAGCATTCTCTTTCCGTTGTTGAGTAATTCTTCTCCGCCTTAGATAAAGTTCTTGAAGCATAACCAACTGGCCGCTCCTTCCCATCGTTGATCTGTACGAGGACAGCTCCAATTCCATAACCGCTGGCGTCAGTATGAAGCTCGGTTGGCAGTTGTTCTTCGAAATAGGCAAGGACAGGTTCAGACATCAATGCTTCTTTCAAGGAATCAAAAGCATCCTGTTGGTCAGAGTTCCACGTGAATTTATTATCTTTTTCGAGGACTTCGTGTAGAGGAGCAGCTTTCTCAGCAAAATTTTCGATAAATCTACTATAATAGGAGCATAAGCCAATGAAGCTTCTCACATCTGTTATAGATTTTGGGGTCGGAAACCTGGCGATAGCTTCAATCTTTTCTGGATCGGGATAAATACCTTTACTATCGACGAGGTGTCCAAACACTCTTATTCGTTTGGTTCCGAAAAGACACTTTTTGGGGTTGAGGCGTAGCTCGGCTTTGTCGAGACATTGTAGTATGATTTCAAGCCGGTGTAAATGTTTGTTGAACGATTTGGAATACACCACGATGTCGTCTAAATAACAGAGGGCCATCGTCCATTTCAGGCCTTTCAATATCTTGTCCATCATGCGCTCGAATGTTGCAGGGGCATTACACAGGCCAAAGGGCATGACCAGGAATTCATAGAGTCCGTCAGGGGTAATAAAGGCAGTTTTTTCTCTATCTGCTTCGTCGACTTCTATTTGCCAATATCCTGAACGAAGATCCATTGATGAATAAAATTTGGCTCCTTTCAGGGAGTCAAGTGTATCATCGATTCGAGGTAGTGGGTAAACGTCTTTTTTAGTAACCTTGTTTAGTCGTCTGTAATCCACACAGAAACGCCAGTTACCATCCTTCTTCTTCACTAAAATAACCGGCGATGACCATGGACTTTCTGAATGACGTATAATCCCGGCGTCTAGCATTTTGTCCACTTCCGTTTGGATTGCTTGGCGTTCTGTAGGGGAGACTCGATATGGTCTATGCTTAATAGGCTGGTGGATTCCAGTTTCAATTTTATGTTTGGTTACTGAAGTTTGCTTTACTGGTTCATTATTTTTATCAAATATTTTATCATGTCGCTTTATCATGTGCCTTTCCCAGGCACATTCCCTTAGGGACTATTTGAGCTGTGGTGCCAGAATTTACGATCCAAAGTTTTCCTTTATTATGGGAAAGCCTGAATAATGCACAGGGAAGTGTTAACCCTTTTCCTATTGATACCTTTTCGAAGGTTCAAAAAGTACCTGATTTTGCCCATTAAGCTCTTCACTCATAACATTTATTAGTTTGGTAGATTCGGCTGGGATTATGACGCTTCTGCTAGCCACAACCTTTCCCATGGAAGCTGGTGAATTTAGCACATCTTTGGCCTCTTCCAATCTGATTTCGGCGCGTCCACAATCAATCACGGCATTTGATGCCTCTAGGAAATCCCATCCGAGGATAATACTTGGGTTACTATTAGGGAGGACGATAAACTCAAGCGGCTGTTCCAATTCATTGATGCTCAAGCTGATTGTGCATCGGCCGATCGATGTAACATTCTTGCCATCAGCAACTTTTAGAGTCATTCCGCTATCCTTGAACATGGTCTTTTTTTTAATTGTCGTCTTAATCCATCAGAGATAACCGAAAAAGAGGAACCTGAATCGACTAGAGCAGAAAACGCAATGTCATCAATGATAATTTCGACATAATTTTGTTGTAATTTAGCGGCTGTCGACGATGGAGGGTTTTTCACACCCGCGGCTTCCCCCTCGAAAGAAGACGCGACGCTTAGTTTTTTTCTAGATTGTAGCGGCGTGGGGATTGGCTTGTATGGCGGCCTGGGGAAATGGACTGGCGTCTTGGGGATCTTCCTCTGTTTGGATACGGCGATTGTCTGCGGTAGGTTTGGCTTCTTATGGCTTGGTGGTTACCCATTTGAGGTTCTTGGGTGCTTGGTGCATGTCCTTCGGGTCTCTGCGTCCATTGTCGGCGTTCTCTACAATATCGCTTAACATGGCCTGGGAGGCCGCAAT